TTGACTAGACCCATGTCAGCAGAAGGCGAAATGCCATACCTCCGGCTCTTCTCTATCTCACCGTTCAGCACCTCCTTGGCCTGCATCACCTGCAGCCGGCTGCTCTCGGGCTTCTTGGGGGGATCCCTGGTGACAAAGTGGCCCCCCGAGTCGGTGTACTGCACCACCACTTGGGAGGAAGGGCCGAGGGTGAGGGTGTGTGGGATCACTGTCTGATGGGGGTGCAGGGGGACCGGGATGGTTGGAGGAGAGACGTTTCTGACAGTGCTCTGGGAAGAGCTGGAAATGTGGACATACTGGTTCTGCTGGGTGGGTGGAGGAGACCCAGCAGCGATCAGTCCAGGTGTCCTGACCAGGTGTGGCTCAACTTTGTGGCCCTGCTGGCTTAAGCCGCTCATGCTAGCCAGCAAAGTGGAATAAGCCTCCAGCTGGGAGCGCTGGGATGGAGTGGTCGCAACGGCCGTGGCCGCTGCCACGGCACTGGTCACAGAATTGGCTGTTGGGGAAATCATCTGTGAGGGGATGAATCCGGTGTACGACCCGCTGTACTGGGGCCCGACGAACTGGAAGGTGTGCGGCAGGTGTGTGTACTGCACGGGGGAAACAGGGGTCCCTGACTGGGAGAGGGCGGGCGAGTACACCGTGGGAAGAGTGGTGGAGACTGGAACGGACCTGGGCGCGCTGGGAGGGGAATAGTCCAGCCCTGCAGACAGCGACTTGTGCAAACCCTGCTGCAAGCCTGCCTCCGTCGCCGACGTCCCCCCGGGCCGGTGCCGGCCCCCCAGGCTGCCCTGGCTGCTGGGGAGCCATGCTAGGTTATCTGCACGGTGGTTCTCGTTTGGCAGGACCGGCTTCACCTCCGAAGGCAGGCTGGTGGCAGGGATTTCTCGCTTCTTAGGTGGCAGGCATTCATTGCTCCGCTCTTGGTTGGATTTCATCTTTCGCCGTCCCCCCTCCACTGTGCTTGCTTCACTGTCTGGCTGGCTCTGATTTCAGTCTGATAAACGGAAAATCACATTTGATTTCTGCAAGGGATCCAGTGACTTCATGAGGAATCATCTCCTTGTGAGCACGATTCTCTGACGGCTCCTCTGGATTCTGCAACGAGAGGGTGGACAAGGGAGGAGGGAGTCACACCGTCAGCACTGGGAAATGAGAACAAACGAGCAGACACCTTGAAACAGCAAGCGAGTAAAAGAAAAACCTCTGGAAAAAAACAAAACCAGTCAGGCATTGCTGCTCTCATGTCAAGGAGCAGTTGACAGCTGCGCTGTAAACAGCAGCGAAAATCCTGGGCACATCTGCTATCGCATCATGAAAATGATTAAAACTTTTGGCAGATCAGAAACTCTCTGCCTATAATTTGCTGCATTTAGTAGCGGTCACTTATTTCCCAAGGCTCACTTTCTCCTTCCTCTGGGAAAACCTTCCATGTCTCTAAGGTGCCCGGTTTGCTCCTTCAGCCTCTCCTTTCCCTGCAACGACAAGGCTGCCTTCGCCCTGCTGCGTCCTAAAAAGCACGGGAACATGCACACACAAAATATTTACATTAGCAACAAGTAGCTATTAGCAGCGTGGAGGGAAGGTGGTGGGTCACTGC